AAATCGATTTTTGAAAATTGTAGTAGTTTTTATAAAAATAATTATAATTATTTATTAATCAAAGTATTTTTGAAAAAAGTTAAAAAACGCGTTTTTCAATTTAAAATCAGGTTTGGAAAATTGTAATTTGTTTTTATATTGTAAAAAAATTAAACTAATTATTAATCGAAAAAAGTTAAAAACCCGAATTTTTCAATTTAAAATCGATTTTTAAAAATTGTAATTTGGTTTTATTAAGAGATGTATAATTAATTATTAATCAATTTAAAATCGAATTAATCAAAATCTTTTCGAAAAATGTTTAAAAATGCATTTTTCAATTTAAAATCGATTTTTTCAATTTAATGTAGATTTTTGAAAATTTTAGTTTCTTTTGAAAAAAATATTTTTTAGTTTACTTCAACTAAATTCCTTTCCGAAAAGGACACACAAAGATGAAAAATTGAAGATATATATTCCAACTCACTAAAAACTTGTTATAAAATTTTTGAAAACACTAATTAATAAACGCTAATATTTATATTTTTTTTTCAAAAATTATTTGCGAAACATACTCTTCTTGGCAGGCAATGCCTGACTGCAAGCCACCAAGCCGCAGATCACAATTAAGGCGAAAGTTGCGTTGAATTTCATTTTGAGCACTTGTTTTATGTTGTTGCTGTTGTTGATTTTATACACGAATGCAAGTACGATGACTTTTATCCTTTAAAATAATTTGCTTTTGATTTTTAGTCGAATTAATGTTCACTTCACTCGTAAGACGCGAGAGACTGGAGCTAAACTTAGCACTTAAGTTTCCACCAAAGAAGTGATGTCTTAACAACGATTCGCGTTAGATTTATATACGAAAATCGAACCTATACGAAATATACGGCATAGGCAGCGAACAGCAGTGGTATTGGTCGGCGGCGTTGAACGGACGGACACACCAACAGCTGGACAGTGGACGACAAATCAAAAATGCAAAAAAAGCAATAACCGAAATCGCACGCGTTTTGTTTGTACTCGAGCGCTTGTTTTTGTTGTTACTGCTGTATTTTTTCATCATTTTGGCGTAAATTTTGTTGCTTTTACGCGACATTATCATAGTGTATTGCAAATTACGCGCGCGTTACTCCTCCGCCGCGTAGGACTATTTAGCATTCAGGCGATGTGCTCATAGCGCGCTGTGCAGCCGCCCGCCACCAACTCACACCCGTGCGCTATAAGCGCTATATTAGCAGCTTTCTGTCGCTGATTAGCTGGCAGACACACATACACACACACACACACAGAAATAAGCTTCTTTGCTTAGCGGCATACGAGCGCCTTCGGCGACACATCCCATTTCGTAGCGTCACTTCGGTTATTGGTGTTACGGCGGCGCGTCTGCGCATAGGTCTCACAAATATCAGCGCATTCATTGCCTCTGTGTCGCTGTGCATTGATTTTGACAAATTAGCGAACATTTCATTAAGCTAAATTATGTTAACATAGCACTTTTATGAAGCGTTAATTAGTGTGTTTTCATGCAGCCAATAGCTCTGAAAACACCTTTCATATTTAGCTAGAGGATCTATCAGCTTTACTAGCGCGCACTCGAACTGTTTACAAAATTCGAAATTCGATTTTTGGGTTTTCCAAAGTCTACATAAACAGAAAAATATGCAAATATGCTATAATGAAAGTATTTTGAGCGTGTTTACAAATGTAAAATCCGTAAATAAATCTGTGCCCAAGCATATAGTAGCAGTCTAGGCAGGCTTAGGGCATATTTTTTTGAAAAAAATAACATAAAATTGCCATTTGAATAAGGCATGAGTTCTAATCACATAAATTGCTACGCATTGCCGGCTCGTGTCCGCTCTTCAAATATCCGCATAATACCTATAAATGTTGTGACTCAAGCGGCTCATTGGGTTTGGAGCGCCAGCATGATCGACTATGTGTGAAGCATACTTTTAGGTTATCTGATTTCAGTATTTGTGTGATTTATTGGGCTGATTGTATTTAATTTCATTGCGGTTATTCTATAGTTTTGTGGTTATAAACCCGTTAAATTTGTTAATGTATATACTAAAAAGTTTTATCGGCTCTAAAACAATGATCACGTGATTTTGTTCATTAAGTGTGTTTGGCAGCTATATGTTATAGTGATCTTATCTAAACAATTTGTTCGCAGATTTTAACGTTTCTTTGAAAAATGAGTCATGCTAAATTTCGTGAAGATAACTTCTCAGGATGTTCGAAAAATTTCAGACTAATATCTATGATCATATATATATATATATTCAATTGGGTTTCCAACGTTTGCTGCTGGGTGTTACAAACTTCGTTTAGGGTACAAATATTTTGTAGAATTTGATAGGTACAGCCGCTGACGCCTTTGAGAACAATTTTTTCTACTATAATCTTCTTGATTTATAGTGCAAAGACATAGACTCTGAATACGTCCGATCTCCAGAAAGATTTTTTACAAAAACGAGGTAAGTTACAGTATTCCTAACTAGAGTTTTTATAGTATTTAAGGAATTTTATTTTAAAAGTCGAGAAAATACCGCGTATATTTCGAGACACAGCTTATAAATTGATAAGGACTCATTTTCTTCAACAAATTTTGTATGAAACTAGCTGTGAATCATACTTATGACAATATTTTTCTACGTGAGCTTTATACGGCCTTTAGAACTTGTTCAAAAGCTGACGCTCTACACTGCGTTTCTCGAAGTTTTACTTGGTGACTTTTACTTTTGTTGCAATTTTCGTCGTTTTTGATAGAAGGATCTGATGATTTGAAATTCTGTACAATATTTTTTAAGTTTTAAATACATTTTTTTTTTAAATCGAATATCTATACTATTTTTGGTACAAACCATTATGGAATATTTCCTGCCTTATCGTATACCTTATTTATTTTTATTTTGCTTAGAAGTCAAAGCCATTCACCTTGATAAAATAAATTGGCAAATTTTTCAAAATGTAAACAAAGTCGCCGAAATTATAAAAACTTAGATGATCGAGCTGATAGAATTTGATTGATTGACATTTTAATGGAACTTTTTTGACACTTTTTTCTGCTAGAAACCACAGTAGAATGCCAAATGTTTGCCCGAAAGACAAATGAACTCATTTAACTGTTTAGTATTTATTACGAAATTGGGGACAAAATTCCGAAAAAATCAGTAGTATTTTTAGAAATTTGCATTAAACGGTACACGAAGGTACAAAACGGCGCAATCTGGCATTACAAGCATGTTTGTGCATAAAGATAACGCATCAAAATGTATAAATTTTGGAGTTTAATGTTTACCGAAGTGTGAGGCGGTTGGAGCGCAGAACAAGTATGGCGTGTATTTAAATATGTGTGCGGGAGAGTAAATAGGTGATTTCAAAGGATTCATTAAGTGGGTTATAATATTGTATTTTATTTTAATGTTAACAATATATTTTCTGTTAATTTATTTTTAATTGTATAATAAAATTTGTTGATTTATTGGCTAAACGAAAATATGTTTCAAAATAAAATATAAAAAAAATTATTTTTTTTTTCACAAAATTTTTGGGTAATTGAACCGTGGCAAGGTCAAAGCGAATGATGTTCGAAAAATTTCCATTATTCATATTAGAAAACAAACAAGTATTGGCTTTTTTTGTAGTAAGCAGCAGCTAATACGATTTTTTTCCAATTTTTTTCGCAATTTTTGTTTCACATTTTATTATAATTTATAGAAATTCCCAGCATATTCATCTTTCCTTACCAGGTTATGCTTGTACGTTTTAGCGCTGCACGCCAACTGCATGCTTAAGCGGCTAGCATACAACTTCTTCGTATAAAGCCAGTGTCAGTTTATTGTGACAAAGCAGCTCGAGTGACTATTTCACGCCTGCACATGTCATTTACCGCTCGCTCCACTTTTTTTTTACTACCGCCTCTGCTGTCGGCGTCGGCTACTTCTTTCTAATTCTAATTCGAATTCGCATTTGCATGCTACTTATTCTCCAGCATATTTAGCCGAATTTGTATTTGAAAATTAGATTGTTTATATGAAATATCTATACAGGGTGTGTGTTTGTTTGTTTTTAGTGAGTTCTTTTAGAATTCCACGCATGCCGCTAGTTTTTTGTGTGTATACACGCTTATTTACATACAATTCGTAATTAAGAATAATGATTGCAGCGTGCGCTTTGTGCGATTTCAAACAATTCTTCTGATTTTATGCTAATTGTCGCAGTGTTTATTTCGTAGAATCCTTAAGAAAGCCAGTTCATTTTTTTGGTATTATTTATTTCACACAACTTTTCGCGGTTTTGTTTTACTTTTGTTTGGATCGCATAAATTCGAAACGAACTTAATGGCTCCGCTTGGGAATTATTTATGAATATGTGTACTTTTTTTATCCACTTCTTCTTCTGCTTCTTTTTCTAAATCGATCAACGCCAGTTTCATTTATGGCTTATTGTTATGCAATGTGAAAATTATGTATATTTTCTTTTGTATGCGATTTAAATTGTGTATTTTAGAAAAGAAAATATTGAAAATAAACTACATAGTACAATAGCACACACACACACACACTAGTACTAGTAATAGTGCCACCCATTGGGTGTTGAAATATAGAATTGCGCATTCCATACGCCTTCATCGGTATTCAGCTGCATGTATCTTTTGTTCAAATTGAAGCACTAATTTGCTCACTGGACTAGCAATTATCGGTTCTTGTTTGATTATTTGTATTTAACGCTTACTGTTGACACATCTATAGCGGTTGGGATATATAAATAGTTTATGAATAGCGTAGCTGTATGGAATTAATAACGAATTTGATAAAAGTATAGTCTAAATGAAAACTTTTCTGAAGATCTAAGACTCAATACGATTCATAAAAAAGAGCAAAATTCTTAACGATAGAAACATGTGAATGGGATTGCCCTCATTTAAATTAAATCATATGGACATGTCTATTCAGTTGATCAAAATTCATAATTTGTGGAGTGTAATATATATCGCCTAATGTGTACGAATATATCGGAAAATTTTGTAATAAATATTGTATAAAGTATAAAAGTATGCATATTGATCAACTAGTTTATGCGCGCTGCTCTTTTTTTATAGAACTTTAGTGGGTTTATATCTACAAACTGTAGTCTACCGAAACTTTGAAGACCATTTACCTATTTTATGGTTCGGACTCCGTCAGATCTTGCCGACTGAGTCTTTGAAAATCGGACTCTTAAATTAATAATACCGTGAAAGCGTTCCTATTAAACAAATAGGTTCCCTTATTAAAACATCCTTTATCGATATCAACCAAAGAACTTTACTTCATTACAAAATACTACATTTCAGAAGGCTTGAGCATCAATCTAATTAACCTTATAGACTGCATCTAAGAACTGAGGTATCAGTGCTTTCGGTTACCAATATACCATATGAAGTGAGCGTTAAGTTACAAATGTGTAGGTAGAAAACATTTGTTGTGAACGAGTCTTTATTGTTGGGTGGCTTGGCATCTGTCAAACGTATTCAATAACCTTAAAGTCATTCAACAAACAACATCATATTTTTTCATTGTGTTGAAAATGTAAAATGAAAATGTAAAATTTTCAACTGGAAAGTGATGATTTGCGGAAAGCATAAATTTTTTGTTTTCATTTGAAGAAAAGTGCAGCAGAGTCGCATCGAATGCTTGGCATATGGTGAAAATGCTTTATCAGAATCAAAATGCAAAAGATGGCTTAAATGGCTCAGAGATAATGATTTTGATGAGAGAAATGAAGAACGTGCAAGATTATCAAAAATGTTTGAAGACGCTGAACTGCAAGCAATATTGGATGAAGATAATGCTTTGTGTCAAAAGCGAATGGCAGCCATATCAAATGCTGCACAACAAACAATTTTAGAAGCTTTGGAGAAATTCCAAAAGTGCGACAAATGGATGCCACATGAATTGAATGAAAGACAAATTGAAAACCGAAAAAAGACTTGTAAAATTTTGCTTCAAAGACACGAAAGAAACTTAGTTTTGCATTGAATTGTCTATGGCGATAAAAATGGATTTATTTTAAGACTCACAAACAGAGAAAAGCATGGTTTAATCCGGGACAATCATCAACATCGACTGCAAAAACAGATCGTTTCGGTAAGAAAGCAATTCTCTGTGTTTGGTGGGATCAGAAGGGTGTGGTTTATCAAGAGCTTCTAAAACCTGGTGAAATTGTTAATACTAATCGCTATAGACAACGAATGATCAGTTTGAACCATGCATTGATCGAAAAACGATCAGAATAAGCCAGAAGACACGGCAAAGTTATTTTGTTACACGACAATCCGCCTGTACACAAAGAAATATTGGTTCAGGATAGAATCAAAGTATTGTACTTGGCTGGGAGCTGAATGAATATACTTGAAAATATTTAGAGTTAACGAAATGTAAAGTTGAGCTTCTCATAATACTAGCATATGAGACCTCAAAACAATAGGAAAATAGCTGAGAGGATTAGTTAAGAACTTTACTTATATAAGTGTTTAGTTAGGTTTGATTACTGGAGCATAAGATCACCATAAGCAATATTGTTTGGCTAAGACAGACTTACCAAAGGATTTCATGCTCAATAACTAAAGGTTATATTTTTGTGGACGACGGAAAATGAAACAAAAAAGGGATGACTATGTGTGAAAGAACACTTAAAGAACAGTCTACAGATCGTGGCGATCGCAAGCTTTAATTGTTAGATGCTATTGTGACGTAAGTCTAATTTAGCACCACATATGCCACTATTAGCATAATATTGTTATATAGTTATCAACAGACTTTAAGCTAAAAGTATTAGTCAGCAACTCGAATAAATTTCCACTCAAGCGATCAATTGATGATCTCGCATTCATAAATTATGAACAATAAAAAGGATACACCATTGAAAAATTCATTTGCGTCAATCGGATCGGAACATTCTTAGAAAGTGAAAATGTTTTCTTTTAGTTCTCTCTTCTTATTGCCTACAATAAATAGTATGCATATCCTTACACGGTAGCAGACAGTAATGCGTCACTAAAAAGGAATTTTCACCGCTTCACCTGTGCCATACCAGACGTTATTTTTAGATCAAACTGCCTACACAAGCGAAATCGGCAAAGTCACGTGCTCGCTTATAAACTTACACATCTACATATGTACATCATGAATCATGCGTTTCTGTTGATTGGAGCTGTTGTTGTTTATAACTTTATATGTTCCTTAGTGTGTTGGACCTCCTGCAAGCTGTTTGATAGTCATCTGAGGCGGTCTTTAAAAAACAATTAATGCGAGTATCGGCGCATGCGCACAACGCAATGCCTGGCGATATTATAATTAAGCGGCTTTATAAACTTAGTAAAAATATTGAAAATGATGATAATGATATTAGTGATGGTGATGACAGCAATAATTATGATGTCAGTGGTTTTCAGTTCCGTCATGCGTACTAGAGGGTGGTGCAAATATTTATGAACAGTACAACAACAAAAACACAGTACTTGTGCGTAAGCGCGTGCAATGCATGCCTTATTGCATGAGAATGCATTAAAATAATTGTTATTGTTGCCATCGCCCAATTGCAAGAAGAATTAACTTGATTGCGCCTGCGCGCTGCCGCACACTGCAACTCGTGACTGACAGCCAACGAAACGGAAAGTGATTAATTGACGATATTTTGAATTATTGCGGGCAGTTGCAGCAATGCATCTCTTTAATCGTGCGACAAATTGTTGGTTATTTGTTGTTTTGCCATTCTTTTAACGTCGCCTTTAGTTGCCGATCGCGTTCGCTGTAAGTACACATGTCTGCTCTGTTCGACTGTACTTAGTACTCATGTCTCAGCTTTTATGTGCGAATGACAACTTGAACGTGTCTACTTGCATTTATTGCATTTTAATGGTTGCATAGCTGTGGTGGGTGCTGTACTTCCTGAGCGACAATGGCGGCGGCGCTTTGAGTGCGCCTCATTGCCACATGGCAATGGCTGGTGGTTGTCGCCGTCAGTGTCAGGCGCTAGCCTCAATTTTTATCAACAGTTTTATTTATAATCAAAGCTTATTACAAGTATTATCTATAATTTGATAGTTCCTCATTTGCCTTGTTAAGCCTTTACGTAGCACGTCAAAAGGCGAATACACGCTTATCGCGCATTTAAGATCTTTCGATTTTTTGGCGAATATTGTGGCATAAATATCGACATAAATTCCAATATATACTTTATTTGAATTTATATTATAGAATAATAAAATGATTAATTTTGTACTTTCGGCTATTTATTATGCTGCGCATGCGCTCGAAGCAATAAACTTCACTGTAATTCGCTATTAATTTCTAAGCAGAACTTCAAAATTTTTTTTATTTTTTGAGGTAAATAACGGTGGGTCCGAAATTAGAATAAATTATGTTGATATTGAATGATCAGCATATGAATTAATTTGTTTAATATTTTAAATTCATAGTAAATTTAATTTTTATGACATGGAAAAAAAATTTA